CCCTTCAAATCCCATATATAATTCATGGGTGGACAACTAAATTCGTCGCTTTACTTCTTTACATTCTCTCCTGTCTTATTCCCCCGACTACTCCAGCTACTGTACTTACACTTGTTATTATTGATGTTATGCATATATGTATTTATAAATGTATATATGTATATTTTAACTTCAAATTTAATTAGCTGTCTGTTTTTACATTTTCTCTCTTCTAGTCTGAATAACCTACGCCATTCAAATCCGTTATTATTATCTCCTTTCCTTTGACGACGATATTGGAGGACTAACTGGTGAAAGGATCAACTCCATTCACAGTAGCAACAAAGTCTTAACACGCCGCATACTACAAACAACATATAGTCAGTCCCAGCACTACTCCTTTTGAAGTCAATCAAAGCTACGGCAGCCAAGCGGCGGGACGAACTACGCAAAAGTTTACCGAAGACCAACAACCTTTACGTCCCAATCAAAAAGCGAGTACAGAGAAATCAAATTGGTTTAAGCCAGCTCTCAAAAACGATATTGGATACTGGACCTTGTAAAACTAGCTTGTCCTCAAAAGATGTCGAGCTCCAACACGAGTTGTGGATAACAACTCTGCAATTAGCCGAGAAAATTCTAGGCATGGTTAGAGACACTCTTCCATGGAAAGTTTACACGAAAACTCCTTGCATTTTCGTGCATGAAAGCTATCGCCGTAACGTCTTCAAAAGGTTGCATGGCTTATCCTACCTGGGTATTCAAACTACCATCAAGCTCATTACAAGCCGGTATTTTCACCTGGTATTAATGAAGAAGTAGAAGAATGGGCTCATACGTACCTAGCTTGCCAAAGGTGCAAGGCAATAAGACACACCAGAAACATTCTTTGCAACTTTCTTATCCCAGATGCTCCATTCGGACACGTCCATATAGACCTGGTTGGACCCCTACCAGAATCTCATGGATATACTTATATCTTTTATGCGGGAGCCGGAAGCAGTGCCCCTCAATGACGTATCTGCTGAAGTAGTCGCACACGACTTTGTCGAAAGTTACGGATGCTCATCCTCCAAAGCAGCTGATCGCGTGGGGCAATTCAGAAGCGACTTATTCTACGCCTTGACTAAAATCCTTGGTTGTATGCATTTTAGAACGATGGCCCACTATCATCAAACTAATGGCATGGTAAAACGTCTACATTGGCAGCTGAAAGCTGGGCTATCAGCAGCAAACAAGGTACGTTGCACTGAATCACTACCGTTTGTTCTTCTAGGCATACAAAATGCCTTGAAAACTGATGCTGGTTTTACTGATGCCGAGCTACTATATGGCGCAAAACTACAACTGCCAGGTGAGTTCGTTTCTTCCTCTAGCTTCCCACAAGCGGTAGATCATGCCTCATATGTCAGTAGGCTTACAAACGTAATGCGTTCAGTTAAACCTGCTCCCCTCCGACTACAGTCTATAGACGTCTTTGTTCACCCGTGTTTGAAAACTTCTTCACATGTATTTGTTCGTGGTCACTCTGTGCGTCGCCCTCCAGAACCCCTGTACGACGGACCATAAAAAGTCATTAAATGTGTGGATAATTTTTTGACCTAGACAGAAAGGGTCGCAAAGACTCTGTTAGCATCGACCATTTGAATCGGGCCTACCTGGAAGTTAATCCCATCAGCCTAAAACTAAGCATTCGCAATAATTCACAAGTAACCGAATATTTGTTAGTCCTCAAAGAAGTCACTAGCACAGTGAAAGCCACCTAACCTTCTGTCGAGCTCTAAAAAAACGCGTTCTGAACGAACTGTGAGATTCCCAGGACATTTTCACACTTATCTCACATAACAAAATGGTGCGACTCATACAATTTTTATTCGTTTGTGGAACATATTTTTTTCATTGCATCCCGCATCATAAGTCACACATTTTATAACCGTACACTGAGAAAAACTATGTTTTTCCGATGTTCAATTTTTCGCATTATTTTTCTGTATGGCAGATGTATACTATCATCCAAACGTTATTTTTGGTACATTTTCCTCGACAAGTTTCTCAGCACTTTTGTTTTCTTTTCCAGATGCAAGGGGCACTGGATAAGATGCAAGCGATATAGCAGATCCAACGGACAAGCATAAACGAAGCGATGTACATGCACTCAATTAGCATAGGTAGACAACCAGTAGGCAATCTATCAAGCTGATGATAACGCCATTGGATCTTCGCCACTAGGGTACATATGTAACGACAGAGGGCAAGAGTCAGGCAACAGATCATTTATTAAGGAAACCAACGCATATTTATATATGTTTCCATGTACATAACTATGGATATTTAAGCAAACAAACACAGTCTTCCGATTGGTTGTTTCTCACGTAAAGTTAATCTTTCATCTATTTGTGACTGTTTCTTGAATTTCAAATACTCTATATGTTAACTGCATCCGCCCACGCAAAGTATGCTGCGGTCGGTTTTGAATCAATCTTTTGTTCACATTTTCTCACCACAAATCTTGGGAACGTAAATATTGACGTAAATTACTGTCTACAAATTTGGCTAGTAGACAGCTCTCACCACACATATATTGTCAGCTGTTGGTGTAAGTGCCTTCCGTCCGACGCTGAGTTGTTCCACATCCTCATGGCATTCAGTGTTTCATAGGGCGTCTCTTGGGATGATTAGATACCGCTACTAAATATGCATATCTTAATGTCTGTCACACATTAGCTCGAGAGCTTGTCAATCAGGCTTCGTCATGCTGATAACCGCTCACAAATCTGCCCACTGTTTCAGCAAATAATTGGTCCCTGGTACTTTTTGTGTGACTATTGCTATGACATACTTGTAATTACAGTACCTCTCAATCCAACTTTCGGAAATACACGATTCGAAAAATAATGTGTGAGTCTCTTTGAAATATTGCAAAAATATTTATTCAGACATCTATGAAAAACACAAAATAATCGAGCAAAGAATATTCTTTTCGATAAATTCCTCTTCCAGGCTCTACAATTATGTATGTGTTTATATACACAGAATATTTTAAATCAGCAATAAATGTGTGATGCCGCAAACACTAGTCACAGCGGAACACTTTAAAGTCAGGCTAACCAATGTGTTACAACATGAAACTTCAAGTCTGAGGGAAATTCAAATAACAGATATAAAATATTTCAAAAATATAGTTAAGATCTAGTACCACGAATCTTAACAAAGTTGTTTGCAGAGCTAGTCTATGCATTGAGTGGACCTTGCCTTTTCCCTGACGGATCAATACAAATTTGTGACTGATGGTTGATGAGGAGAAGTATCATACCGGGTTCATATGAGTAATGCCGTTATGGAATTGTAAAAATAGATGCTATGTTGGCAAGTTTCGGTACATAAAATACTTTTGAACATCAGTGCCAAAGTAGCTAATATATTGTCTGAGTCTTCATTAGATAAGCTAGCTCAAGAGAACGAATCACACTTTACCAAATCCTTTGTGTAAAAGAATAAGAAACGTCTGAGTCACTTTAAAGTCAACCATAACACTTCTGTGACTTCTGAATTAATCACCTTAGGCGGTATTATAGATAGGACAACCACTAGATTTCAATACATCACTACGGAATGAAGGGTGGTTTTTTTCTAGGATCCATGGGTACTAGGTAAGAAGGATGCCCATGAACATCGAAACAGTATTTCTCTGAAAATCTGTGCACTGGTAACTTGCTTCTGGATCTACTTTACTGAGTAATAATTGTGCTGTGTCGTTCTCCACATAAAAAGCCAATGACGTAACGCATATAAGTGTCTAGTCTTGCGTGGACACGTACAGAATTACTAACTCGACTGCAGAAAAATTTGGAACAGACTGATTAAATAATAGCGACTTATATTATGGTGAAGCGTCGGTAGCACAGCGGTAAGGACACTCGCCAACCATGCACATGGTCCGAGGTTCGATCCCCGGCCGACGCACTCCTTTACCTCACTAAGCCAGAAATAAAAGCTGGTAAAGAGGAAAGGTTGGGCATGAGGTGGCTAGCAACCCCATCCTGTAAAAATAAACGCTGCTACAGAAACTTCAAGCCCTTATCTTGAAGCTCTATGTTCCACTAGGAAGGTGAAGGAATAAAAAAATATTATGGTAAAAGCTGGTTGCGGGCCAAAATTGTAGACAGCAATTTACACCTATGTTTACGTCCCGAATCGGGGTCCCGAGAAAAACAATAACTAGGCCTAGCCTTGAGAAACTCACCAACCAATCACAGCAGACTCAAAGTGTCCAAACACGATTCGCAGATATATGGCTTAACTTCCTGAGAGACGGTCACAAGCAGTACAGAATAACCTTCAGCAAGAAAACAACCCATCAAAAGAAGTTGCTTCTCTGATACATTAACGAGGAATGATTTAACATAAAAAATCTATAAATATCTCTTGATTTTCTCAATAAAAGATCTGTTGCCTGGCCCTTGTCTTCTGACGTTGCAATACGACTGCCAGCTGAACCCAATTTCGCAAGTCATGACACAAACTTGAGTGGGGAAACTCTATTGTTACGATGATAAGATTATTGACCGTGGCGTCAAGCGCTATATTGCGCAACTGAATATATCGAAACCTGAGACATCTCATATACACTAAACATATACAACAAGGTGAGTCATGACTAGTGCTCACTGATTATCGGTTCCGAAGTATAAATGATTGACAACTTGCTTGGTTTCCTCTTACTTAACCTATGTAGACATGCGCCAGTGGTTCAACGGTAGAATACTAGCCTGGCCTTGAGATTCCCTCAAACATCACTTAACTGCTAGCAAGAAGCCTAGTAAAGAGGAGAGAGTTTGAGCGTGAAGCTAGCAGCTCCACGCCATAGAAACAACACCACTACTACTGGGACGTTGAAGCCCAGGCGAAACGCATAGAGAAGCGAAAAATGTGACCTATTTTGACAAAATAAGAAGGCATTTATTTAGGTAAACAAAATGAAAATTATATACAGCCAGAAAAAGAAGCACCATAGTTTTAATTTATGCATAGAATTTCTTATTCCGTTTATTCTTCTTTGCTTTTTTAGATGCTTGAATTTTAGCATATTTTGTCTTGATTGGCTGTTCATAACGAACCGCCTCATTGTCATCTTCATCATCGCTCATTTCATCGTTATGCATATTATGATTATCGTTCACTGCTTCATCGTTGTCCTTATTTGTAAATGTAACACCCCATCCAATTGATTTATTAACACGATGCGCCTCTTTCAACTCAGCTTGCTCCTTCTTCTGTTGTTGATTCAGCTTTGCAATGCACTTCCATGTTTTACGTGCAGCTGCTATCCCAGCCTCCCCAGATGTTTTCAACTTGAAGCTGGCCGGAGGTTTAGGCAATTTACGCTTGGAGGATTGTTTTTCTACAGCTGATGAGTCATTATCACCGTCACTATCAGATGATGATGATGATGATGGCGATGAGCGGTTTTCATTATTGTCACTATCATCATCATCGTCATCACTTTCAGCATCATCACTGTTATCTGAATTGGCATACTCTTGAAGTATGTCTTCATCCATTGGTAAATCGAAACTAGGGAGATCATCATTGTCGACAGGTTTTTGACTTGCTATCTGTGCTCTAATCGTCTGAACAATCAGAAAAGAAAACAACAAATAGAAATATGGAATAAAAATGTATGTTTAATTGGAAAAAGGTACTGAATATCATATTGAACACACTTTTTGATGTAGTTGTGTTCTCTGAGCTAGGCGCATGGTTTATTTGTGAAGCTTTTATTGCCCCAACACTAGGCAACATCTTCAGCGCATACACTTCAATTTGATGAAGTGAGCTTTTAGATTTCTCCATGAGTCTACAAGTCACCTCTGCTGGTGACAACACGTTGTCAGAAAAAGCATCAAAGATAGGACTTCAGGTGAACATAGAGGAAACAGAGGTAGGTGATGAAGATCCCTGGCCAAAAGCAACAGCAATAATCAGCCAAGATAACGGGAGAAATCTGAAAGAAGCAACCTCCTTCACCTACCTACCTACCTACCTACCTGGGAAGCATCGTTTCAAATACAGGCGGAACTGACGAAGATATCAAAGCAAGAATCGAGAAAGCAAGAGGAGCTTTCTTTACTCTCAAGTTTGTGTGTAGATCAACAGCACTCAGCATCAAAAATAAGATCCGGATTTTCAACTCCAATGTAAAGTCAGTGCTACTTACTATACGGATCAGAGACTTGGCGCGTCATGAAGAGCATCTCAAACAAACTACAGACCTTCATTAACAGTTGTCTCTGCAGAATGCCCAAGATCAAATGGCCAGCCGGAAAATATCAGCAAGAGAGATCTCTGGGAGCGAACCAACCAGGAACCGATTGTTTAACAGGAAGAAATGGAGATGGATTGGCCACACTCTGAGGAAACCATCAAGTAACATCACTAGACAAGCCATTACTCGAGTGGAAACCGAAAGGGAAGCGGCGAGTTGGTCGTCAGTGCAAGGGTGACTTGGAAGAGGTCATGTGAAGAGGAGATGAAAGCATGTGGGCAGACTTGGAGACAGGTGAAAACTCAAGCAGAGAACAGAACGCAATGGAGACGCACGGCTGAAGCCCTATGTTCCTTTAGGAATTAAAGGAAATAATAATAATACCTGGTAACTTTGAGAGTGATTGGTTATTTTCGTGTGTTTTCACACCCTCTAGGCTACTTGTGTTGGTACTGATTGTTTCCTTGACTTGAACTATGACCCTTTGCGTATGAGATATCCTTCTTTATCGACTAGTAGATTTTGTCTATATCATCAATGTGTTTATTGAGTGACGGTTCACTGGAATACCATGTAGACTTCTAAAAATTCTCTAGCATTTATGATGTTTCCTGTGTCTAATATTTGAACGTCGTCGCAGTAGAATTGATGTCCGTGGTTGCCTGTATGCAGCGATGTGAGTGATGGAATGAATGTCATGTCTTTTGACAGCTAGTTTATGATCATGGATACAAAGACGAAGGGGACATCCGCTTTGGCCAATGTAGTGTTTTTCACAGTCATTGCTGTTGGTGTTATCTACTCTCGCTGTTGAGTCTTTCGGTTGACACAGAGTTGAGTGAAGTGATTTTGTTGGTTTCCGTACGATGTCAATATATGGTAGGGCGATTTTCTTTGTTTTTTCCTTGGGGGCCTTTGATTTGATAGGTTGGCTTGGAGGTATATGTCTTTTGATGAAATTCTCTGGATATTCATTCTTTTGGAAGGCATTCATGAGATATCTTTCTTCAATTTTCCTTGAGGTAGGTAGGAGTGCTGCAATGAGTCCTAGCTGTCTCCCTTGAATAGTATTTGTATACAATTCCTTGTGTGTGTTATTGGATTGTCGCTGTTTTAAGTGAGTATTTGGTTATTGTAAGCTGATTTTCTATAAACTTCATTTTCTAATTTTCCTATGGTTTTTCGCTTGACTAAGACGTCCGAAAATGGAATTAGAAAAAGAAAGCATCATATTAAACACATGTAGCTGACACTGTTGTCGTTATAGACACACTGACTAAGTGATGAGTTCCATTGTAGGACTCTATACAGTTGAACTTGCCACGCTCTATTTTACTATGAGATATACAGCGGTTCAGTACTCTCTGGTAGTTTTCAATGGTCGGTTCGTGATCAAAAACCTGAGATCAGTCAGATCCCTGCAAATCAACACTTAGAAATGAAATCATTTCCCACAAGTGACAAGCGTGTCATTACACACACACACACATGTTCTGTGGTGGACAGAAGTATACAAAAAAATGTCACAGCTAAACACAACCTGCATACAATGTGGTCACCAACAAGTTAGGAGAATGACTGAAGACCAGGATCTCATAAGAAAAAACAGGTAAGTAAACTAATCAAACAAACAAACAAACTAAAGCAGGTAGTTACAACATCATCACTACTGAATAACGATCATGAAACATAACTGGTGACATCTCGAGATATAGTGATTAGGATTCTCTTCAGCCCCGTACCCAGGGAATCCTGATGCTCCGAGAGATGAGCACTCAACACAACTATCATCTCACAGCGACACGTCATGGGATGAAGCCTCCTGAACCTGAATGGCATTAGTCAAAGCGAAAACAGGAATTAGGACGTGGACAGAAGAACCGGCAAAGACGCGACTTCCGATGAACAAAGAGAAGACGGAGTTAGGTGATGAATACAACTAACCAACAAACAACAACAAATAGCACCAACCACTATCAAAGGAAGTATCGTTTCAACTACAGGCGACAGCACGGATGACGATGTGAAAACCAGCTAGAATTGGGAAGGAAAAGGACTCCTCCACTACTCCAAAATCAGTTTGGAGGGAATCATCATCACCAGACCAGTATAAAGAACAAAATTCAGATTCTCAACAACAATGGTTGAGTCAGTCAGTTCTTCTAAGTGAGTAGCAAACTTGGTGATTCAAGAAAAGCAATCCCAACAGCCAGCTGAAGACTTTTATCAACAATTGCCTTCTCTGTCTCAATACTGAAGATCCAGTGGCTGACTAGGGAGAATCGGCGAAAAGAAACTCTGGGAAAGAAACAACAGGCGAGAACCTATTGCTTAAAAAATATGAAAAAGAAAATGGAGATGGATCGGACACACGCTGAGGAGACTACTGGGAAATCATGGACCAGCCAGGCCGTCACTCGAGTGGAACCCCAAGATGACATGGAGATCTTGCGGGGAGGAGGCCAGGGACAGTCGTGGGGATAGCTAAAGAGGACACCAGAGAACAGGAAATGTGCTGTTGAAGTCGTATGTTCCACTCAGAACCCAAGGGAATACTAATAATAACGATAATAGTAATACATAAGCCAAATGAGGCAACATCATCTACAAGATCAACTGCAAAAGCTGTGAAAAATATTCTCATTTGGACCACAGTGTACATCACTTTTTCATCTTTGCAGCCGACGTCAACAGACATGATATCTGTTCTCTCATATTATTGGATACAAACCACCACGAATACCAATTTGACTGGGGGAACGTAAAAATCTTAGAGAACCGATATGTCAAAAATGCGAGGGAATTTCTAAACGAGTGTTTACTGAACAAAGAATATTCTTTTCGATAACGCCTTATTCATCAGACTCTACAGTTACATATCCATCCATAATAGTGAATAAATGAATCAGTCTTATTAACAACATTAATGTTGTTTCAATAACATCGAATCAATAATATCAATAGATTACAGTTCAACAGCATCAACATAAAGTAAGCTGAATGTCAGAAAAATTAGGAAAGATAATATTACAAATTCATGAGTTTATAGTCTCTACTGATAGTCGGCCAGGGCAGTAGTAGTGGCTGTTTGAACTTGCTTCTATTGCATACAAAGCATTGGTTGTTTCACGCGAATCGCGATAGCCTGTACGGTATTTGGATGTTCTTGGTAATTTGTTTGGTACCCGATAGATGATACAGAAGCATTCGTCAATGCTGGCTTTGTGTTACGTTTGGACCAGGTGGTCTAATATCGAACTGTTTATGGTCTTTACTACACCTTTATTTAACCACACTGGTAGATGTTCCCAAGCGAGCACGAAAAATAAACCAAGTTCCTAGAGCGACAGCCAATATAACTCGCTACACATCACAGGAGAGCGTAGTTGAATGGGTAGATACAATTAGAGCTGGCTAGCCTAAAAGCCTGATATTCCCGACGAGTCTGTAACCAACAGACACACATATGAAATTGGCAACTGGTAATTTGAAAAAGAGAAGACATTCAGCGAAGAGACTCTTTTCGGCGAATTCATTCACATAGCTGTACAATCGCATTTATATATAAATATTTGTGTGTGTGTGTGTACATGAGGTTTGTCAAGTTTAGATAATTGATTAGTTAATACAAGAATGATGTAGTATAGAGACAAAGTTAATCAGACAGCAACTAAAGTAAGACTGAGTTAAAAAACTAGATGACGTAATATAATTGGCTAAAATGTTACAACTTAGGTCAGGATAGCAACAGAGGTAATTACAGGTAGAGATTAAGTAGAAGTGAAATTGAGTGAATAAGTTGGATGACGTAACATGAATGACTAGAAACTGAGCATTGTTCAAGTCAGTAACAGTGGTAGTGGGGTGTAGAGATTGAATCAGGTGGGGGTAGAGAACAAGAAAGTTGAAAATGTAAAATGTTACAATTGAGAAGACAAAATAATACTAATGAAGAGACAGAAGAAAAGATTAGGTAGAATTTACATGTCGGCTAATAAGATAGATTACGTCCATTGCAAGTGTAGTGATTGAACGAACTTCTTCTGTATGCAGAGTTCAGGACTTAGCAAGTGAATCGCCATTGCTTCTGCAGTTTGAAGAAGTCTGATTCGTACACCTTTAGGGAGACTACTTCTTACTCTGTAGACGACTTTGAAGTTTGTTTGCGGTGTGGCTTGGTGTCCGGATTCTATCAGATGTTCTAAGATGGAACTGCGGGGGCATCGATTTTCTCCTTTGTAAAACCATGCTGGTAAGTGCTCGGTGATACGTTTGGAAAGCGAGCGCTGGGTACGGCCGACATACCTGGCTCCACACGAGCAGGAATTTGCCGAAAAGAGTCTCTTCGCTGAATGTCTTCTCTTT